TTTTTATTTATTTATTTATTTATTTATTTATTTATTTATTTTTTGCTGCAAAAAGCTTTATTGTTTCATTTGGTCCGATGCATGGGAGAGGGCTTCAGGGTGGTCAAAAGAATGGATAGTAATTTCAGGGAGAGGCTCAGGTAAAAGCCAGACACCAGGGGAATGCAGAGGGGCCCCTCAAAGGCCTCTGGGCTCCAAAGGCTCCTAGTCGTGCTTGAGGGTGAGCCTTTTGAAGAGATAGACGCCCAGCCCAGCCTGGGGGCCGGCTGTTAGTCAGGTGTCACCCATCTTCTTGATGAATTTCACCTTCTCATCCAGGAAGTGGTTCTCCAGGAAGTTCACAGAGCTGAGGGTCTGCATGGGTAGAACCCAAGGCATGCAGCTCTAAAAGGGCCTGGTTCAGGTTCCTCTCCAAGGTCAGGGCAGCTTCCATGGCATCCTGAGTTTTGCCCACTCATCTTGAGAAAGCTTCAGTACATCCTGGAAGAGAATGCGGCCGCCGCGCTTGTTTTGCAACTTTAAGAGATGCTCAGCACCCTGGCGCTTCTTCTCTGCCAACTCGTGCCCTCTGCCTCAAAAGCCACCTCTTCCAGGTTGAAATAGAAGCCCAGAGAGAGGTAGGTGTAGGAGGCCTGCAGATGCAGGTTGGCCAGGCGGTTGACTGCAGCCTCCACCTCGGTGGAATAATTCTAACAAATTTGGCAGCTCACAGTTGTTCAGTAATAAGGAGTTAAGGTAGAAAAACACACAGAAAAAAGAACTGGTGTGTTGGCTGGTCCCGGAGGTGGCTCTGAGGGTGGTGACTGGATAAGATGCAGGAGAGTGGCCGGAGGCTAGAGAAGGGGCATCCCTAGTTCTGTTCTGTCAAAAAACCGCCCTGGCGCTTCTTCTCTGCCAACTCGTGCCCTCTGCCTCAAAAGCCACCTCTTCCAGGTTGAAATAGAAGCCCAGAGAGAGGTAGGTGTAGGAGGCCTGCAGATGCAGGTTGGCCAGGCGGTTGACTGCAGCCTCCACCTCCGTGGAATAATTCTAACAAATTTGGCAGCTCACAGTTGTTCAGTAATAAGGAGTTAAGGTAGAAAAACACACAGAAAAAAGAACTGGTGTGTTGGCTGGTCCCGGAGGTGGTTTTGAGGGTGGTGACTGGATAAGATGCAGGAGAGTGGCCGGAGGCTAGAGAAGGGGCATCCCTGGTTCTGTTCTGTCAAAAAACCGTTGAAGCAAGAGACAGATCCGGGACTGCCGAGGGCACTGCCTAGGTATTTTTGGTTGAATAGTGTTTAAAGAATTTAATGATCAAATATCATTATCTGCTTTAACTATCCAATGTACTATAACCTTGGACTATTTTTAATTCCTTAATTGTTTGAATGAGCTTCATCAAGACACTATAAATTTTAAAGTCACCTTACTGGTTTCTTTTAGAATTTTCTGTGAAGTTGTATTAATTCTTCTCAGGGAATGCTAAGTCACAAATGTATTCTAATTTTGAGGTGCACTTAAGCATCCTGGCTGGCTGCTAGAGGAGATGCGTGAAATACTAAGTATAGGCAAATTTGACTCCTGCTGACTCTCATATTCTTTATCTAAATTTTAGCCCATTTTAACATTTCCATGTAGCCATATATTTCTTTTGGGTTTTGAAGTCCTCTGCTTTTATGAAAAAGCCCCTGTTAGAATAGAGAAGGAATATTAGAAATCATGTCTGCTTTTAATTTTATGTATTTGCCCTTGGCTTTATTTTCGCAGTCAGTTTCATTCTTCTTTTGCAACCTCTTGTTCTCTCACCAGAATCTTATTTTCCAGTTAAATGTGTGATGGTCTCTATGCATGCTTCAGCCTGTTGTAGTTAAATCTTTTTGTTGTTGTTGTTACAGATTGATTGTTTTGATTTAGCTGCCTTTTCTGATATGCGCTACCCAAATCTTGATTTCCTTGATCTTCAGAAGTGCACACCCGCCACTCTAAAATCTTGAGAAGAATTCAAGATTTAGCAATTTATAACTTTCTAAAAACTGGGAAAATATAGGACCCTTGAAGTCCTCCTCAAATATATATAATTTCTCTGTCCTGATAGAGTCATCATTCCATTTTGTATGGGTAGAGTCTAAGGCACTATTGAAGGCTTCCCTATCTAGGAGCAGAATTTGTGTTTGGGAAGTCATTTGCTTCATTAAAAAGAATTATCCTTTCATTATGCTTGTCTATCTAGACAAAAATATCAAAAGATTGAAGCTTTCTTTAGTCAGTATTCAAAAAATGGTGGTGTTCACTTCTCTAGACATAATGATATTAATAGTTAGATATTTTACACTCACTGTAAGTAAGGGTGAATTCCTTTTCTTGGGGTTTAAAAAATATTTGTAGAAAATGACAGAGCACCCACATTAGAGTTGAAGATTCATATTTCTGTGATCCTATCAATGATGTGCATATTTCCCTCCCATTTTAATATTTTCTACAAAATACAATTAATGGCCAGAGGAACTTGCCATTGGGACTAAAGAATGGATTCTAAACTGGTCTGGGCTGAACTAGACTTCTCTTCCAGTTCTGCTTTCCCATTGCTTACTGAGTCTGTTCTTGTCTGATGATGTGGAATTGACCAATCCTAGATTTACTTACACATTATTTTCAGGCTCTGCTGCTGCTCAAGGTTTACTTTAAGGGCCAAATTTTATTGATTATTGGACCTTCCAATTTCCTCCTGAAAATGACCACCAGTATTCACTTTTAATTAGGAAATGGTTTATGTTTTCTTCATCTGAGCATTCTGTTCTGCATCTGTGATCTTTGGCTGCATGAACACTATATGCAGCTTGACTTAAAATTAGGTCAAGCAGAAAATTTGTGCATAAACATGAATGTCATGATACTGTCAATGTAATGCCATTGAAAAGTCTTTCCTCCCCCCATTTCTCATATTTTAGTACTTGCTATTCAATGATAGGATGCCCAATGTTGTATATACTTGTTCAGTCTCACAGGACTGGGGCTTGGAATTCTTTTAGGGAAGAAACTGGTCATCTTTTAACAATGACTTTTGATTGTTCCAGCAAGGATACCAAGTCTTTTTAATTTCCTTTTCTCTTGATTAGTTTTTCCTAGTATTTAGTAGATAAATAGAAAATAACAGCAGCAACAACAAAACAAAGAAAAAAACATTGGAACAGAAAAATGGAGTGCAAAAGTACCATGGGAATCGAATTTTTTTAAGGGGAGGAATAAAACTGCCCTATCATCATTTTTGAAAGGGATTTCTCTGCTGTGTGTACTGACCAGTTTTTTCCTTGGGACTAGCAGTTGTGCAGAATTGCAATATGCATGTAGGCTTGAAGCTGGATTGTTTACTTTATCCCATGAGGGTTACTTTTCTACTGCCCTTTGCTTCACAGGTGCACATGTGACTGCCACAGATTTACCTGAATTACTTGGAAACCTGCAATATAATATATCCCGAAACACCAAAATGAAATGTAAGCATTTGCCTCAGGTTAAAGAACTCTCCTGGGGCATAGCTTTAGACAAGAACTTCCCCCGGTCTTCCAACAATTTTGATTATATCCTGGCGGCTGATGTTGTCTATGCTCATCCTTTCCTGGAAGAACTCCTCATTACCTTTGACCATCTGTGCAAAGAAGCTACCATCATCCTCTGGGTCATGAAATTTAGGTTAGAGAAAGAAAATAAATTTGTAGATAGATTTAAGGAGTTGTTTGACCTAGAGGAGATTTCTAGTTTCCCTAGCTTGAATATTAAGCTGTATAAAGCTATGAAGAAAAATCGAAGGAGTGCATGATATCCTCAAAGGAGGACTTGGAAAGCAAAGGCCATTTCTAGTAGATGATGACTTTAAAGAAGACCCTGGATAAGATGATGCAGCACTGACTTTCTCAAGGGGGAACACATGGGTGCGTGCACACACACACGCGCACAGACACACACACACTTACACACTTGCTATATCCAAAATAGCAATTTTCCAATTTATAGCACATGGGTTTGGAGGATGGCAAAGCCATACTATGTGGTTAGGACATTGGTTAGGACAGTGTCTGCTTTTTAAAATTCCTATTTCCATAGAACCCTTTATTATTATGATCAATGTAATAAATAGTGCAATTATTTGTGTGAAATATATTTTATTGATTTTTTACAGAGAGGAAGTGAGCGAGATAGAGAGTTAGAAACATTGATGAGAATCATCAATCAGCTGCCTCCTGCACACCCCCTACTGGGGTTGTGCCTGCAACCAAGGTACATGCCCTTGACCGGAATCGAACCCAGGGCTCTTCAGTCCCCAGGCCGACACTCTATCCAGTGAGCCAAACCGGCTAAGGGCAATTATTGTTATTTTTAATGGATAACTGTAGAATGGTGGTTTTCAATAATGATATCTCAAAAAAACTTACATTATTCTCTCGTTAGAAGTAAAGAAATAAACTATAGTGGGATATGCAAATAAATCTGAATGGTAATAAATATACCATTACCATAATATAATGGTAAATGTTAGATTATTGTGGTTTTCGTTAGTGCCAGCCTATAGGCAGTCTATCATCTCTGGTTGGCAGGGTGGGCCTTCAGCACAACCTCTGAAATCAATCAAGCTTGTGGATTTGAGGTTATAGGCAAGGACATTTCACTCTGGTAAATGAAAAATGAATGGAAGCAAACATAAAACAGTTGGGATTTTGGAGGAGTTATTGCTTTATTTTTAAGCCAAGTACAGTTATTTTTCTTTTATCACAAAAACAGAAATAAATATAAAAACTTTGGATTGAAAATACACATAAAAAGATATAGGCTCCAATCTCAAATAACCAGACAAATGGCTGTTTAAAGTTTAAAGCTCTTCTGATGAACATATAGATCTACATATTTGAAATCCTATGTGATTTTTTTTTCACATGGGCCTTAAGAGATTAGAAGTCTGAAGTAATTAAAGTTAGTGAAAGGAGAGCAAAAAATTAGAATTTTGTTCCATGTAACAAGAGTGCATTGGTTGGTAACTACTCTTCAGTGTCCCCAGGAATGTTTGCTAGGCTACCACAGTGCCCTTGGGTGATACTTGCTCTCCTAAACCCAGCTCTTTTTGCTTTGCTGGAAGTTCTCAGTTCACTCAGGGCGAGTAGAGCTAAAAGGATTATTTCCTAGGACCCTGATCTGTAAGCCAGATGCAAGTATGTTGCCAGTGGATTCTTTGATATGTGCAGTTCATAGGGCCATTTCTCAGTAACTCCCAATATTTACATAGTTTTCACAGCCTGTTGCATACATAATCCTTTAATCCTCACAACCATTCTAAGAAGTGTAAGTAATGTCATTATCCCTACTTCACAGATAAAGAAACTGAGTCCGAGAGCTGTGAAGCCACTTGCCCCAGGCTATGCAGCTGCAGTGGCAGTGATGGGGCTCTCATGCCCTGGCCTGTTTGAGCACAGAGCCTGTGTTCTTCTTACTTACTGCCTTTGTGTATAAAAACCAGTAATTTTTACTCTTTTTTTAAATGAGCAACTTCTTCAAAATGAAATACCCAGAAAGGTAAGCAAATACATTAAGGAGGACGAGAACTGTTCCTCCTTAAATCTTTATCTCTTTTCTTGCTTTAAGTGGATGGTCAGGGTAGTCCCATTTGGAAGGTGACATTTAAGCAAAGCTGGAAATTGGTGAGAAAAGTAGCAGTGTAGATATCTGTAGAAGTGTGTAGAGGGAGCTGGATTGTGTCAGATCTCTGCTGTAGTCTGGGTTCTCTGGACGAAGACCCAGAGGTAGAATTTTTGTGCAGGTCATTTATTAGAGACTGCCTTTGGGATCAAGACCTGTGGAAAGGAGCAGAAGCATGTAGGACAAAAGCAGAGGTCAAGCTACACTGCTGGCCCAACTATAGCCACAGCTGACCTCCACATGGAATGCTGGACCTAGAGTGGCCTTTCAGAGGTGTTCCAGATTGGGTTGAAATGGCTGGGCTTTGATAGCCCCTTGTCATTCAGTCACTGCTGCCCTGAGAAGGCTCTGTGAACTTGGGTAAGGTGACTCTCTTCAGCAGACCTTGACAGCTGCAGACCATCTGCCATCAGCACTTCCAGCAGCAAGGTGATAAGTCATTCTGCAGGGTATCTGGGCAGTACATCACAGTGTTCACCACAGCCTTTAAGGTCATTGAAAGAACTTTGGCTTTTCTTCTGGTGCCAAAGGAACACTGAATGCTTTGGAGTAGAGGAGTGAAAGCATATCATTGTATGTAAGGACCATTTCAAGAACGTTTCAAGAACATTTAGGAAGGGGCAGAGAGACCTGTTAGGAGGCTGTGGCAGCCATCCAGGCAAGAGGGGATGGCAGTCTGCAGCTGGGAATGTGCCATGGAAGTGGTGAAATTGGTCAAGTTTATTATTTTATTTATTTATTTTTTAAAATATATATTTTATTGATTTTTTACAGAGAGGAAGGGATAGGGATAGAGAGTTAGAAACATCAATCAGCTGCCTCCTGCACACCGCCAACTGGGGATGTGCCCGCAACCAAGGTATATGCCCTTGACCGGAATCGAACCTGGGACCCTTTAGTCCTCAGGCCAACACTCTATCCACTGAGCCAAACCAGTTAGGGCTGAAAATGGTCAGGTTTAGATGTGTTTGGAAGCTAGAGCCAATAGAACTTCCCATCATATTGAATATGTGTGTGAGAAGAGAGAGAATCAAGGCTGAATCTGAAGTGTTTGGTCCAAGCTACTGGGCATGAAATTGGAGGCATCAACTTAGAAATGGTGTGTAAAGCCCATTCAGGGAGCAAGAGTGAAGAAAGAAAGGACTGATTCCTGAGATTGAGCAACATTAAAAAATTAGACATAACTGTATTCAAGATTTTTTTTTCAAGATTCTGCCTGGACCCCAAAAAAGTTACATTAGTATCTGTTAACTCTGAGATATGTACTTTCTACCATGGTGATTTTGAACTGATCCCTAGAGGTCCAAGATCCCTCAAAGTTGCCTCAAGTGTCTCTAGGAGTATTTTAAGTGCAGCAGCAGGAATCTAGGGATAACAAGAGAAAAAATGGCTCCTTTCCTAAAAATGCTTGAATATCTCTACTAAGCTATTTTTAGGCAGGATAAAGTGTCCTTACTTCAAAGACTGTGTTAGGACCATATGGTTCATAACAGCTCCTCTTTCTCTAAGTGTCAATCTGTCAAACATGGTGTTCAATATCCATTGTTCTATTCTGTTTATAGCCTTCATTTGCAAAGTTTAACACCCACCCACACACATTGTGCCCCTCCTGTTTCACTTCATTCTGTGTGCTTGTCTACTTTTACCTTTTTGCTGTAGTTTCTCCACACTTTTCTGTATTCAATTTTATAATAATTTAATTTTAAAAATATAATTTGAATGGATTTTTTCTAACTCATAGTTTTTCTTTTATAGCTAGGAATTAAATTTGTCAACTTTAACCCAAGAGAATTATGCTGTGAACTTTGTCTTTACCTGACTTCTTTTGAGAAATTAAACTATATTACTGAAAACCTCATTCAATTCTTACAGTAACTTTCTGGGTTTCTAAAAAAATAAATATACCAATTATCAAGGTTTAAATAGAGGTTATCATGGTATAGTTATTGTTTAAAATTTACATGTTATGTACATGTAATACCCAGTGTTGTGCTCCAGAGTGCATCAACTGACTTTAGGAAACTAAGTGCTATCTTAGAATGAAATTCTTCTGTCTTAGAATTTTCTGACGTATCCTATTTTATTTGTACCAATATTTTATTTATAATTTTAAAAAAATTGGTTTTCATTCTTTATTTATATTCAGTTCTCTTTTTGGATAAAGAATTGTGGCATTGGGTGACTTCCTAACAGATTTTGAGCCAACTGTGTACACTCACTATTTTGAAAGAAAAAAATGAGGAAAAACAATAGAATGGAATCTCCTCCACCTCCCTTTAAATCCTTAGATTCCAGGAGCTTGGTTCTTTCTGTGAATGCCTGGTCTTTATAGACAGAGGATATGCCCAATTTGTTTTAAGCAGTGCCATTGGCATGTGAGCTGATACATGATTTCTGAATACTTTTGGAAATAGAACATGTCCCCTGGATAGGATTTTGATGTACTAATTTTAAAAACAAGCTGGAACCCTGGGTTCTAGAAATAAAAGACAAAGTCAACCACAAGTAGATCAGCTAGGCAATAAAATTGATAAGCTTAGGAGAAAATTAATATTCTGTACCTCTTCATTCAACTCTGTTTTAGCTTAGTTTTCATGGAAATCTGCATGTGGAGAAAGTAAAAATTGTCAAATATTGCATTTTTCACACCGTATTATTATCCTATATAATAAAAGGCTAATACGCAAATCGACCAAACAGTGGAACAACTGGTCACTATGTGCATACTGACCACCAGGGGGCAGATGCTCAATGCAGTACTCCACAGCAGTACTAAGGATGTCTGACTGATGGCTTAGGCCCGCTCCCCACGAGCTGTCAGTCGGACATCCCCTGGGGACTCTGGGACTGCAAGAGGGCGCAGGCTGGGGTGAGGGACCCCCCCTCAAATGCACGAATTTCATGCACCAGGCCTCTAGTAATAATAATAAGAAACAAAATTGAGAATGGAGCAGGAAAATACTTTTACAAAATGTAGGGGGATATGGCAAAGCAAAAATTTAAAAACCATTGGCATTTGTGAGTGTTTGTGTGTGGAACTCATTTAAAAAAAAATCCTTATTATTGAAAATTTTACATATGTCCTTTTCCCCCCCATTGACCCCTTCTGGAACTCATTCTTTATATCTTCTTTATGAAGCCAGGAAATAGTTCACAAATGATTTCCCCATCCAGGTTTTGGCGTTTTGGGGTTTCTCATGTGAAATTAAGTCTAGAATATTGACTTGCAAGCTCAATTTCAATATTTGCTCTGCTTCCACACAAGATCCACACAAGATCAATGACAGTGTTCTGCATAATTATGTGGTCATATTAATGGGACAGTTATGTCTTTGGTGGCTTAGTTAGCATCAATTAATTCTGTAGTCGTATTAACTCCTTTTATTAAGAGTTCCTGAGCTGGACATTCATGTTTACTCAGATTGTGGATAGCTATGTAGTATTTAGATTTCTGA